GGGGCCGGCACGGCCTGGTCCAGCGTCCTTCCTGAGCTTCCTGCCCGGGTGTCCATGCGTGGACACCACTGTCCTGTGGGGTGACTGGAGAGTGGGCCGGGCGCCGCTCGCCCCCTGACGGTCAGGAAGGTCTCCACTGCCCGGAGCACAAGGTTCACAGGCCCTGGCCAGGAGGACGCCGAGCGGCCCCGCCTGGCCACACACGCACCCCGCTGGACACCCTGGGCTGCAGGGACCCTGCCTGGGCCCTGAGCGCCGGTGGCCGACAGGTGCACCACGGGTTGGGGGGCCGGCGGAGGGCAGCGGGGCTCCCCGTGTCCTGCGGGGGTGGGGGCAGGGATGTGAGCGTGGTCACATCCCCCTGGCGCGAAGGGGAAAATGCCCAGAGAAGCCCAGCCGAAATTTAGGGGTGTGGGGGCCCGGGCTTCGGGGAGCAGCGGAGAACTGCTCCCTGTGTGTAAACCAGCCGGCAGTGACCAGAGAGATTCAGGGTGCGGTCAGTGATCCGGAGGACCCCAGAGGGGAGGGGCCGGTGGAACTAGCTGCCGCGCCTCAGCCAGCTGGGGGGGGGGGACGTCACCCCGGAGCGGCCTCCTAGGGCCTGTGTGGCCGCCACAGCCCCGTGCAGGAAGGAGGCGCCGAGCCAGCCCTGAGCCAGAGGCCCCGAGGGAGCCGGGCAGCGGTCAGCAGGCCGGGGTCGAGGTGCAGCCTGATTCTGGGGTGCCCACGGGCGCCGCGGCCGGTGCCAGGGCTGGGGGCAGGCCCTCGCCGCCACTCTCAGCCTCACCCACCATTTTGGGGTGTCTCCCGAAAGCTCTGAGCGGAGGCACCCCCAAGGCCCCAGGGTCTCCCTTCCCCAGCAGGGTGGGGCATAGCCTGGGCCCCCACTGGCTGCGGGGGGAGCTCAGAGCGGGAGCTTCATTGGTCCTCAAAGTCCGGCTTTGTCCTGCCGCGGGGCCTGGTCACCGCAGCCTCCCGGGCACACGCGGGGGCTCGGTGGGGTGCGGGGGCTGCTCGGGAGGGCCACCCTCCTCGCCGGGCAGGCCTGGCGCGCCCTGGCCCCTGGATGCAGATGCAGGCGTTCGCCTCTTACGAGGAAACTCCTTCAGCTCTCAGGGACCCAGGAACCCCAGGGGGTCAGCCACGCCCAGGGCCGTGCAGACCTTGGCTCGGGGGCGCCCGGCAGCTGCTGGATGTGGCGAGGCGGCCTCCCGAGCCACGGCGGCCATGGCGGTCAGGAGTCGCAGCTGCAGCTGGCGAGATCAAGCCCCCGCCCGGAGGCAGGGAGGGGCTCCGGCCTGCGGCTGGGGACGGCCAGTGCGGTGGCCGGGCAGGAGGCAGGTCACCCCCAGGTTTGGGCCACGGCCGACCTGGCACGGGAAGCTGCGTCTCGGGGGTGGCCCGGGCCCGCGGCTGCTCGCGGGCGCCAGCCTCGGCTCCCCGGGCCCCCCAGAAGGACTCGGCATCTCCCCAACATGCTGCGACCTGACGCTCCTTTGGAAGCCGGCTCCAGGCCTCCCCTGGGCAGGTGCCCCGAAACCAGGACATCACCCTCAGCCCCGCTCCTGCCTGCCAGGGTCTGACGCCCGCCTCCCGCAGCCGAAACTGCACGGTGCCCCTTGGGCAGCCGCCAGGCCGCACCTCCAGGGAGTCCAGGCCGGGGGCATGCGGCTCCCATTCCGGGCTGTCAGCGGCACAAGGGGCCCAAGACCCCAATGCCCGGAGCCCCTTCTCCGGGGGCCGGCGCTGGGGGTCGGTGGGTGGCGGCCCAGGAGGGCGCCGAGGCTCCCCGGAGCGCCTGGGGCTGGTGCCGCCGTACCACGCTGCGCCCCCAGAGCACACCAGGGGCTGTGGCTGCAGGACCTTCTGGAAGCCGGGGCACCCCGGCGTGGGGCGGGCAGGAGGGGCCCACGGGACCCTGCGGGGACCACGTGGCCCACGCCCG